GTGTCTGTCTGTTAGCCGTAACCTCAGTATCGATGGTGTCTGTCTGTTAGCCGTAACATCCCTCTAACCACATAATCATCTATAGTGTCTGTCTGTTAGCCGTAACATCCCTCTAACCACATCAGCATCTATGGTGTCTGTCTGTTAGCCGTCACATCAGTATCTTTATTGTTTGTCTGTTAGCCGTAACATGATCAGCATCCATGGTGTCTGTCTGTTAGCCGTAACCTCAGTATCGATGGTGTCTGTCTGTTAGCCGTAACCTCAGTATCGATGGTGTCTGTCTGTTAGCCGTAACATCCCTCTAATCACATAATCATCTATAGTGTCTGTCTGTTAGCCGTAACATCCCTCTAACCACATCCGCATCTATGGTGTCTGTCTGTTAGCCGTAACATCAGTATCGATGGTGTCTGTCTGATAGCCGTAACATCAGTATCGATGGTGTCTGTCTGGTAGCCGTAACATCAGCATCTATGGTGTTTGTCTGTTAGCCGTAACATCAGCATCTATGGTGTTTGTCTGTTAGCCGTAACATCAGCATCTATGGCGTCTGTCTGTTAGCCGTAACATCAGTATCTATGGTGTTTGTCTGTTAGCCGTAACATCAGCATCTATGGTGTCTGTCTGTTAGCCGTAACATCAGTATCTATGGTGTCTATCTGTTAGCCGTAACATCTCTCTATTCACATCAGCATCTATGGTTTCTGAATTCTGCATTGCGATATAACGAAACAACCGGTATGGCGACATAATGGGACTTCTGAAAAAAGCAAGACTACGGGTATGGGGACTTAGCAATACAACAGATATGATTATATAGCTTAATCTTCGGGAATGGCGACATAACGAGACTAAGTTTTTGACGATATAACTCGACAACGATAATGGCCACATAACAAGACTACTGACATAGCGACTTAACGAGACAACAAGAATTTCGACATAGCTAGACTACGGGTATTGCGACATTACAAGACTTCAAGTATTGTGACATACGAGACTTAGATACAATTGTGTATATGTGCACGATATATAGGCAGTGATCATATTACTGTACTTATAATTTATAAGAGAGTGGTTACCATAAAATAAAAATGAGATGGTTGCGGTTTCAAAGCGCAGATCAGAATTTGGGTCGCATTCAGGATTGTCTTCTTTACTTCAGTCTAAACACATACTTCCCGGGTCAAATAGTATAATTCATGTCCGTTTTTATGGTCAATTAATATCAATTATTCATGAATGCTTATTGAATACCTGGGTGATATCAATGTATTGAATTGGCCATAGACCAGAATTCTGTTCTAACGAATCAGGGGCTCTGTAATACACCTGTACACAGACACACGGATATTGATTCAAGTGTGTCTTCTATAACAAACAAACAAAAAAAAAAGATTAAAAACAAAACTACAGAACTAAATACGGTATGTTTGGCGAGCATGCCGGATACACTCACACGTACTGGTTTTATACATTGATCGCCTTCAACCCGAACAACATTCCTATAGACTAGAAATACAGTACGGTAAGAATCGGATATATAGCGCTCTCCTTTTAGATTCATCAACCGAGTCTGTGTCTGTATGGATTATTGAATCCTCATGTATGGATTGATATATAATTTACAAATTTAAGAGGAGCGTGAGACTCTGTATGGGTAAACGAATCAAAATACTTTCCATCCTATAAACCAATACACTAGGGTAACGTGTCACCAAAGACGGCTTGAGGTCACATTACCTACACATTGAATTGCATTGGGTCTAAGTATATTTTTTAGAAAGAAATCTTTACAGCAAAGTGAGGAAATAAAAAAAAACTCTAAATCAGATATTGTTAACTCCAATATTAAGTACGAATGTTTTTAAAGGTTTTGGAGAACAAATACATCACTACTGCAATTCCATTGGATCTTTGAAGCTATTCGGCAATTGTTTTCATTGAAGCTTTAGCGTTTTTCACAAGACATTCTTTCTGTTTTGATAGACTTTGCTATTTACTACTTTTAGAAATGTGGTATTCAATTCTGAAACGTAATAAATGTATGTTTTGCTGATATGATTCAGAGAGAGTATGTCTTGTGAAGATCTATTGACTAAATGTCGAAAAGTCATTCAGCGATAGAAACGAGTCGTCCTATTAAATGACCAATTAAGTCTGTGGATACTTTAGTACTGCTTCTTTATGGAAGTGTGTCGAAATACCGGTTAATATAACAAAACTAAAACTATGATATTAAACGTCATTATGAACGTTCTTTTATCTTTTATAATTGCAGGCCTAGCCCCAACTGGAACCACTGTGATTTGAGAGTGATCCATATTTCCCATAGATGAATCGCAAACCGGACACGCAAGTGTAGAGTTGGAGCACGCGCACGGTACAACTGTGGTCCAACACGCGCGAGCCCCTTCCTCTGCTCAGCATGACATGTTCGCCACAAGGTATTGCGGAGCCGTTATATAAGGTTGGGTAGCGGAAACATAGCAGAGGAAAGCAAACACGCACAGAGCTAGCATCGACCGCGAGTTATACCGATACACACCGTAGCTCCCCGTGGCCCAGTATAAAGAGACACCGGAGTGGCTGTTTGGAGAGTTGGCGGCTCGATCACTGCTGGATAAAGGCTGAAATTGAGCGACATTGTGAGGATCAGTGTTCAACTATGTGCAGTTTACGGACGTTTAAATCGAGATGTGTACTCGAGAAGTGTGGCTTTTATTTGTTATTCATTGCCAAACGACGATAACACATTTTAATATGTGTGTTTTAGATATTACTTGGTAAGCAACATTTGTCTAAGGAGACTCTTTTTTTTGTGGATCATTTTAAATTCGAACATTTAGATGAAAAAAGGTCATTTTTAAAACAAATAGAGCCTTAAAAGCAGCTGTTTGACGCCGCACTAATTGTTTGTCATTTAACTGTGAGACGTTAGGATACTCACCTTGCCAATAAGGAGTACGGAAAATGCACTTTTTGACATTTAGATAAACCTATAGCGTGGAATCAGAATATTTGCTATTTTAAATTACGTCACGTGAGCCAATTAGATTTGCGACGGTGATGAAGGTGCTTTGACAGCGTGTCGGTATTGCTTAGAGAGTAAGGACATTGGTTAGAGGTTATATTCTCTACAGTTTAAGGAAACTACACGTGATTACCGACCCTGATCATCATCTGTTAGGGATGTCACGCGGATGTAATGAGTTTAGGGACCTCTAGGGACATCTCACCTCGGTCAAGTCCTGACCCACTGAAGCCCAAAGGCGTGAAGCTACCATACACTGACACACCAGTATATGTAATGTCTAAGGTTTCCAGCCGACTTCAGGCAGGAAATTAGCTGAACTCATCAAGGTTTTGTTCTACCGGGGAGGTGAAAACATCAAGCCAGCTGATCCATTGGCAATGAATAACAAAATCGACTGTCATTTCCTTGTGTGGTAGTCAGAGAACGTGGCGGTAATTGTGGCACATGGACATTAGTAACAGGAAAGTACACATCTTCTACTCAGGGACAGTTACCACACGGTGCCAAGTCTCTGAAGGGGAACACTGCCAAAGTACCATCCACCAGTGAGAGAAGCAAACTTTCGCAGCATTCGAGACTAACGTAGCCGCTATAACGGTTATTTTCCTAAGACAGTCACAAAGTCTGCTTAACTGAAACCTGTTAAAAATCTTCGCTAGTTTGCTTTCATTTAACAAGAATTATGGAGAATACAAGCTGTAATGGTTCAGACGGACAGGCTGTTACGCACGTTTTGGTGCTGAATGGATGCCGGTCAGACATTGAATCGTTTCGGACGTTAAAAATAGTGCTGACATCTATATGTTTACTTGTGATATTTCTATTCAGTATTGCCGGAAATATGGTAGTGTTTTTGATATTTTTTAAACGTCCGGCACTTTTAACGATCTCCAACCGCTTCATACTAAATCTGTCTGTGTGTAACTGTCTCAACACCCTGTTTGTCATGCCGTTTATGTTCGCCGCCCTTATATCGAAGGACTGGATATTTGGTGATGCGGTATGTCGCGGGACAGGTTTTTTGATGAATACGACGTTTGCCGCCAGTACACTGACGCTTGTGGCTATTTCTATTGACAGATACTGTGCTGTAGCTATGCCCTTGCATTATACTATGAGGGTTACTTCCAAGCGTTCTATTGCTATGATATTTTCTGTTTGGAGTGGCGCGGTGATTGCGTCACTTCCGCCATTGTTGGGATGGAACAGTTACGTTTACCAGGCGGACAAGGCGTCCTGTACGGTGCTGTGGACGAACATGGATCCCTTTGCTCGTTATTACACGCTGTATCTTGTGGGTGTCACCTTTATTCTGCCTCTCATCGTATTAGTGGGATCCTACATAGCTATATTTCGCTCTGCGAAAAACAATTTTGAAAGAACTAGACGAAATAGTACAGTACCATCTAACAGTATAGACGATGGGACACAAACTCCGTTGAGGGACGGGAGACGGCGTTCGAGTACGGCACCTATTTTGGCACGGCGTCTAAGCTCTTCGGGTCGTATAGGCCCTCTTCCATGGCATAAGGACGAGTGGAAGACGGCACTCACTAGCCTACTGGTCGTGTCTACTTTTATTATATGCTGGGTGCCATACTTTATCATCATAGTGCTAGAATCGCTACTGTATGACCCGAACATTATCTATCCTGTACTAGAACTTATCTCCATACTTTTAGCTATGTCGAGTTGTGCCGTCAACCCATTTGTTTACGTGTTCCGAAGTAATCTCGCTCGAACACAGCTCAAGATTATTCTTGGTCTGAGGAGGGAACGCGAAGAATACACCAACGAGTCAAGGAGAGGAAGTGTGTGCGCGGCCATCAAGGAAGGTATCATACGACAGAGCAGTACAGAGTCCGATCTGGACGAGAAAATTACGCAAAGCGCAGTTCCGCCGCCAAAAAAATCCACAACACTAACGTCACTGGTTCACGTACCCAGCCTCGCTTCTATGAGAGCCTGAAATGTATGTCATCATCCAACCAGGTAGTTTAATTGTGTAAGTTTTTAATTGTGTCCATTATTTGTTCCAACATGATCTCAAATGTTCTATATTTAACATTTTGATTGAATTTCCAGACATGATTTTTTTGTTCAGTGTTAATCGTATTTATAAGATGACCACATGACATTATGTGATATTTGTTTTTTAACATTTTTGGTACTGCAACCTTTTGTATTGTTTTATAATCAAGTCACAGCGATCTGGTTTAATGTCATCCTCACAGCTGTTTCTGATGACGTCATCAGTCGTCTCTGATCATTTCCTTGAAGTTGTTGTTAAAAACACTTATATGATCCTGTCTAGGTGAATTAGTTATTACCCAAGAACATGGTTAATCCGGATACGGTTTTCTTTTTCTAAAACAATTAGTCAGAATATGATTTCGTTGGATTAATGGAACACAAACTAAATTATTGATAACAATAGATAGTGTACAGAATCAATCATCTTGTACAAAATATCCGGAGTAAAGAGATATCCTTATAACCGCGTCCGGATTAACGATGTTCTCCTGTATAATACAGCATCACTTACACGTCTGAGTAAAACTAAATCTCCCCTACTTTCATTGTTCATCATCCAGATGTAGATATACTGACATTCCAGAGACTTAGCAGTTTAACAGAAACATGGCAGTTTAACTGAGATATAGCAGTTTAACTGAGATATAGCAGTTTAACAGAGACATGGCAGTTTAACAGAGATATAGCAGTTTAACAGAGATATAGCAGTTTAACAGAGACATAGCAGTTTAACAGAGACATAACAGTTTAACAGAGACATAGCAGTTTAACAGAGATATAGCAGTTTAACAGAGACATAGCACTTTAACAGAGATAAAGCACTTTAACAGAGATATAGCAGTTTAACAGAGACATGGCAGTTAAACAGAAATAAGCAGTTTAACAGAGACATAGCAGTTTAACAGAGACATAACAGTTTTCGTATTCAATATTGATCACCGCACGTAGAAGCGTTTTAGGTGATATGTTATGTTTTAACACGTCTACTAAAACAACTGCTGTCTGGGTATATACAATGCTTACACCATATCATGTATCATATATAAGGATGATATCACAGATAATTAAACGTTGTATAATCAAGCTGGATTCCATTAAATCCCCTGTTCAATTATCGATTTGAAACGCACACAAACTACAATTTATTATAATTTCGTCAAAAGGAAAGCTATATTTCTAAATCTTTAAATTAGTTCTTGCAGTTAATGAAAGCTCACGTGGACGCGCAGCTTAAATTGTTCCTTAGAATAATACTGGAGAATGACTCATCGTAGCACTAATACCGACGATGTCTTGGAATCTGTGCCTGGCTTGTTATAATAGTAGACCCAGGCTTCATTCAACCCGTTTCAATAAGCCTAGAAAATGTTTCACTTTATTGATTTCGAATCACGTAAAGTGTTCGACGTTTAAAACGTATTGTGATCTTAGAGGGCAAAACGACTGATCATTGACGCGGGGTGATTGAGTATTTTATAGTTACCTTTTATCCTCAAGGCAACACAGTTTGTGTTAGAACGCCACCAAGGCGATCGAAATTGTCCTGACAAAACGATCAACATCTTCGCCAAGTTTATTGTTCTTAGCACTTCTCCGCTCGCTGTGTCTACAGGAAAGAGAATATAAACAGATTGGCAGATATAAATGGCACTTGTTTTTATGGCGGAATGATCAACAGTAACGCGTCAGCTGATTTGGAATGAATTAATATTGAGCTGTTTTTAAGAACACTTTCCTAGTATACTGGTAGCGTACGGGTCGAGGTTGGTATCTCGTTATATGCTGTATAACATAAATCTTGTCCACTGTCGCTACATAATTACTGAGAATGACCTCGCTTAACCTCACGACATGTCCAATGTCGCTACGTAATTACTGAGAATGACCTCGCTTACCCTCGCGACACATTTCCACTGTGGCTTATTACGCGGAACGGCCTCGCTTACATGTCCCTTGCTGGGATACCCACACTAAATGAGGAATTCCTTTGGATGATCCCGCTTACTCTTGCGGCCTGTCCACTGTGGCTATATAATTACTGATAGCATGATAGAATGACGAAATTGATTTTGTTCATACTTGCTCCAATACATAGTAAAAATATCAGCGTAGAGTTGCGCATATCATGTTCCCGGAGGTAGTTTTCACCTATCTGCCTTCTCTCAAATAGGTGTACTTATGGCCGAAATCGATAATATAAGTGTCTTGTTGTCGGAGGTAGTTTTCACCAATCTACCATCTCTCAAATATAGGCGTCGTGTTGTCGGAGGCAAGCTTCACCAGGTGTCTTGGTGTCAAAGCCAGTTTTCACCATTTTTTCTCCCCTCCAACAAGTTTATACTAATTGAAGTAGTTTTCACCAGTCTACCTTCCTTCAGATAGATATACTTGTTGTCTAGGGCAGTCATCGCTTATACACCTTCCTATAAAGAGGTTCCACCAATCTGTCTTCCTTCAGACAGGGGTCTTGTTTTCTTAATGGAGTCGATGTTCCCCGATATATCTTCCTTCACACGGTTGTACATGTTTTCGGAGATAGTTTCCATCAATCTATCTTTCGTCAGACAGGTGTAATGCTTATCTTAATCTTTGGAAAGATACTGGTATGTAAAGTTTACTTACGGTATGGTTTTATTGCATTGAGATCGTACTGTTCCGGAAAAAATAGCTCTTTGTGTTATATTATATGTTGGATCGATAGGCTTTGGTGCACCGAATTGTCGCACGTTTGTAAGTTATGCTGTATATGTGTATTGTTCGGAGGCAGTAGCAGTATAGTTATAATTCCTGTCTTCAAACAGCTGTCGTATCTTATATTTGCCGAACCTCTGCTTAGTTGTGTGTGTAGGCTTCGCATTAACGTAAATAGGCTTAGATTCCATAAGCTTCGAAGAGAAAATATAACTCTATTTGACAATGATTGCTGCTTATTGCATGTGCCAAGTCGATGGAATTACAGCTGTGTTAGCGCAGCTTCCCTGTGCCTGTTTGTTGAGTAAATCTTATGGATCGTATTCCCCACGCACTCAATGGCCGTAAACCTCTACCAGAATTTAATAGAACACGATACGCTACATGGATGACTCCAGATTGCCATTGCATTAAGTACTATTGATTTCATGAACATTTCATGACACATAAGAAAAATAAATGTTATTATTTTTAGGTCTGCCCTCCTTATAATAATTTTCTTTTAAAACTCAATCTAAAATATCATTCGTGTATTCGTAGTAAACGTGATAAAATGTCGGGAATGTTTCGATGTGTAATCGTTAGTCATATGAAATATGTTATAAATTGTATTCCCTTATATTCGTGTTAGCTTGTGCTGAGAAAGAAACAAGACTGACTTGGATTATTAGCTGTTCGTGCCCCTCTATCGTATTACTGGGACGGGCGCTTATTGCCGTCACGTGACGCATCACAACAGCGCCATTAAAGGGTTACATCCTCGAGTCGCCTTAAAGGGATACTCTCGCAAGTTGTGGTTTACTAATCACTTAAGTTGCTGTCGTTGGACAAATCTCACAAATCTCACAAATCGCCTTTAAAGTCTTCTTACTCTAATTACTGTGATTCTAGCAAGTATAGCTTATTTGTTAATTATCTGTTTGCTTTTTTCCCCAAATGCGGTATTTAATAACGGTAGGTAGCTACATGCTCAAAGATTTGTTTTACTGAGAGAGTACGCGTACTTTATGTGGAGAAATAGGACGCATTTACAAATTGTCAATTTGGTTCAAAATCAAAGAGAGAGAGCTCGCACTTTCCTGAGGAGAAATAAGACAAATTAAAAAAAGGAATCAATATGGTTCAAACTCACGCTGATGCAGGGCGCCGACATGATGCCTCTAATCGCGAAGATAATTAAATTGATATCAATGAACATAAAACCCTGATATAGCTAAATCGATGGCCCACATTTTCTAGGGATCAGTTTTACTGTAGCATAACAACGGTTGGCAGGGCAAAAGTGAACACGGGACAATTACCGTGGTGGAACAGGAAGCTATGTCTACAGGTCATCTTACTCCATAGTCTGGTGCAGTAAAATGACCTGCAAGCTAAAACAATAGCATTGTTCACAAAATAAATAACTTTCCTATTTAGATGACTTTCTTTTAAAACTTTTTTGTCAATCATTTTAATAAATCTGAATTATTGTTACAGAAGTGTGCATTAACGCCGGTTAGTTTTGTGTATATCAAGTCTGCAGTGCTGAAACAATATGTTCGTCGTCTATGGTGCGTTGATCAATATTGGCTAGAAATTGCCCTATCAATACTGTTTTACCCCGACAGTCATAAAATACCCACTGAATTATCACGTTTATCAATAATAGATGTAGTGTCGTCAGAGTTTTATTTCACCAGGCGAGGAGGTAATTATAGTAGGTTACAGGTTTGATGTTGTTGTCAACACTGTTTTAATATTAAAAGTTCTTTTTAAACTATTGTTAATTTACTTTGATTTTAACAAATTTTGACGTTGTCTGATGCATGTACTGGAAGCACATGCATTTGCGAATGTGTTATCACTATTATCATTGTTTGTGATTGCATTAAGAATGAACAGGACTAGGTCATACTGGTTACATTATCATTGTCAATCAAGTCAATATATTGTAGGGTTGGAATGAAATAGTTTTTACGAAATATTTATCGGAAAAATCCTAACTATAGATTTATATCAATATATCTGACAGTAATAGCTATCTGTTTCTGATGATAGACTTCACAAGGAGGCAGTAAAACGTGTAAATAAGTCATGCACTTTTACGGTTTGTGTTATGTTTTATTGCCGTCTAAATGACGCCGACACAAAGACAATGCTGGTATCAATGCATCGTACTCTGTAATGTCAGCCGTGAAAGTAGATCGTGTTTCAGACTCACGTTTTCGAACGATGCTTAGTTCAAACGAACCTTTATAGACTCAATTGGCATTTGAAAGGTTGCTATCTGTATATAACGGTGTCTCCAGATCTGCTGGCAGGAGTTAATCGGTAGGTAAAGACATCCGTTTCCAAAACAATCTCCGGCAG